GCTCAAAAAAACCCCTCATCTAGAGACCCGAGCGTGACGGGTCCTTCAGCGCGGCACCACGAGGCCAGGTCTCTGCTGGGGACTTGCCCAAGGCTTTTCTATAGCAAAACCCCCTTGGGCGGAGCTCCTGGCTCCGGCTCTGCCTTCCCAGCCCCGACCTCTCGCCCATCAAGGAGCTGCTGGCCTGGAGCCTCTTGCCAGCGCTTCTCCCCTTTTGACACACCAGAAAAGTTTCCACGCTGGTTTTTTTTGCTTTTAGCAAATCATTCCTCAGATCGCGTCATCCTGCCGCGTGTTTTACCGGTTCGTTTCCAGGCTCCCAGCTTTGACCCGGCCTTTGCCCCCCAACACGCACCCCTGGCATTAAAGCCCGGTCCCTCTGCAGGCAGAGCCGGGCTCTCCGCAAAGGCTCCCGCTCGCAGCCGCCTCGTGCCAAGCCTAACATGGTGGCTTGTCTTAAAGCGTCGAGTACAAAGCATATGCAGGACAGATGGATATGAGGTTTATAAGATAATTAAGCATGTTAATGAAGTTCATTTGCATCTAGCTCTTAAATTCCCATAAACTCCGCAAAGCTGTGAAATGAGAATTGCCGCTTGACACCACAAAGCAACGAAAATTTAGTTACCAAAAAAGCAAAACACTGATTAACAAGTGAGAACAAAAGCCGGCTGCGGCCCGGCCGAGCGAAGCCCCGGCGGGTCCCCGCTCCCCCAGGCGCTGTGGCAGATCCGCACCGCACGATGCCACCAACGGGTGCTTCAGTGGCAATGGTAATTGAACACAAATCGCTTACGGGCTTTGGCTGGACTGAGACGTTATGATACCAGGGAGAGCTGGGGAAAAAAATTATTGCTTCAAAGAAAGATTTGGCCCCAGAGATGGCGGAAAAGCTTTTTAAATGGTGTGAAAATGAAAGCCGGTCGCTGGTGCGGGGAACCAGGCTTGAGCACCCTCACTGCTGCGCCCACAGGCTGCACCTGGAGCAGGTCCAGGGCCGGCCACGTTGGCAGGGTCCTTCGGTGAAGCCTCGGTGATGGCGCAGCAGAACGAGGCGGGTGGGCGTCCCCCCGAGCAGAGATGGTGTCCAGCTGGGCTGCCAGGTTGTGGAGCTGAGACCCAGAGGGAGCTGGAGCAGCCCCAGGAAACCACGGGAGCAGCTGGAGCTTGGGGCTCCCCAGGGAACCCTCCAAGGATACCCCAGGGAAACCGGGTCGGGAGCTGGCAGATCTGCTCCTCGACCACCTTCCACGGCGCTGGAGCCGGAGGGCACCCGGGTCTCCCTGTGCCCTGCCGAGCCCAGGCCAGCGGTCACCCTCAGGTTCTCACCTCCCAAAAGTTTAAACCACCCCCCCCCGGGCGCAGTTTCCAGCCACCCACCCGTGCGACCCACGGCTCACAGATGGCGAGACGGCTCCGGGTGCTACGGCAGCATGCTCTGCGGCAAGGCGGACATTTGCTTCTCGAGTTGATGGTGGCTCCTCAGCAGCAGTTGACGCCGAGAGCGGCAGCACCGGGGGGGGCGCACACCAGCCTGGGACCTCCACACCGCGCTACCATGCCCGAGGGGTCAGTTAATACTTAGCTCTCAGGCACCCAGGACA